CTGTAACCATTGCCTGTAACTCTGGCACTTCATTCGATTGCACTTTTTTACATTATCATTGGATACCCCTCACAGTCAACAATTGTTTTTCATGACCTGATGATGTTCACACAGTCATTTTCATCAAACCAATCTTAATGTTTCCAGGCATAAAATTCAATTGACTGTGGATGTTGCCAGGATGAGTTTTGTGAATCAGGGTGACAGTGATGATGAAGCTATTCTCAGAACATCTGGTAAGGAGAAGATAAGGAGATGCTGAGATTTGCAACTCCTTCCTTGCCAGTGGTTTTGTTCCAGAGAGTGGTATCTCTTCTCACTGTAGAGGTGAAATCTGCAAGTAGAATAAGTCTGTCTGTTCAGGATTCCACAAAAAATTGGTCTGGCTTGACATACAGTAGGTGTTCTGATTGACTGCTAATTTAAGATGAAGTGTCTTGGTGCTCATGGATTCCAACAGGGAATTTTCGTTATGATGATCTAACTATATTAATCCAATATCTATCCTTTAACTTCCCTTGAAGAAGAAATTAAAGTCATCTCTATTTTTTCCTTAATTGCCATACTCCAACCCAAATGGTTTCACTCAGGGTGGTAATATCAATGTTATATCTCCAATGTTCGTAAGCCACAAGCTTAATTGCAGTGCAGTGTTCTGGACAGTCATTGTCATTTTTTTAATATAGAAACGTGATCCCTCTAGACATGGCTATCAAGTCAGGAGTGAGAAGGCAGATTATGCTCTGGGTACCAATACTCATCTCCACCTTAAAATTAGTGTGAAAAGTGGATCCTAAAAAGGCAGCGGAGTTCTTTTCTGCTTGAAAGTAGGATTTTGACACAACTAACAAGCATCTGTCAATTTCCTAAATGGTAGAATAGATATATAAGATGCACCATCCTGCAATGTCTCATTGAAACAATGAAGTATGGGCTTATCATCACAAATATTCTGGAACCATCCTGTCATTTGTCGATTTTGGATTTGATACCAGGAAAAAGTAAGATCAATTTGTTGAAAATCACCAGGAGATCAATTAACATATTGATGAACTCAGTGACTTCATTGTCATCATCAATCATACTCAATTGTGAGGGGTATATAGTGATCTAGATAATGTATGAAAGCTTTCTCAAGCAATGTGCCAAAGTTGAAGACAATGATTACAGTGGACAGAGCTGTGGATAATTTTAAGTTTACATCCTGGAACATCTCAACTGGAGCTCCATAATTAAAAAAGTTCTTATGTTTTTTACCCGGTTGTTGACCCTGCACTACTCATTGCCCTGGTTCCGCAGTAAGCACGGGGGGGTGTAACTCAGTATCTGGATATATAACTCAAACAATTAATGTAGAATAAAAAGGTTACCAATTCATCAGTAAAACCATCAAAAAAGCTTTAAAATAAAGACTTGATGAAAACCATATAGCACTGAAAAAATCAATAATACTATTGATGGATTTTCACCTTTAAGGGCCTGACAGATTAATTAAATGCACATTTAAAATACTGATTAAATAAGGTCATAGCTGTGCAAAACACAATACAAATAGCGTTTCAAACAAATCAATATAATATACTTATGTGATGAATGTTCTTTTTCCCGTAATATATATTAATCATAAGTCAAGCTACAGTATATATATATATTCAGACATGTACTGTACATTAAGTAGCATGTTAACAACTTTTTCTTTGCAGAACTGCCTTAATTAGAAGTTGTGTATATCATTTTAGCCTATGAATTAAAATAGTAAATATTTTTTAAACTGTTGGTGGGTTTTATAATTATCACAGCTTTCAAGATAATATGAACTCTTACATGAGCCAAAATACCTTTACTCAAGGACAATAATGTTATTGATTGGTGAACAAAGCAAATATTATATCAGTTAGAATGTGAATGTCTGCAGTCATCATAACTAAATTTGACATTTTTCACAGCTCTTACATTCATTAATACTTTCATACATGCATGTCAAACTACAAAGGTTTGCTTACTACAGAAAATAATGCCTATGTAAAAATGCAAATTTACTGATGGAGCTATAGCAAAACGTCCAGTCAAATAGAATGGGAATCCTAGTGTTTAATATGCAGAGATGCCACATATGTTGCTGATTAAGATGCTTGTGATTCACAAGCCCATTTGGATTCTGAGAAGCACAAGAATGCTGTCGGTTTAAAGAACTCGTCGACAAATCTAACTGATTATTTTGTCTAACTAGAAATCAAAGGTAGCAAATGAAATGTTACTGCAGCTTAAGGTTTCTAGCTTTATATATGATCCAGCATTGTAACAGCTTCAAATGAATCTACTGTGCATTGGGCTTAGTGAAAAATTGTTTCCTGGTTCTGAAAGAGACCAAAGTTTATCTAGAGCTTGAACTAATTCAGAAGCAATAGACAAAACTTGTACTTGCACTAAAATCTTTGGAAGATGCTCTGAAATCTTTTGAGTACCATGCCATACAGAACGTTACTGTGGAGTTGCTATAGATTGAACCAACCATTGTATCATGCAACATTTCCACTGATTATTCAGTACTTTGACTGGAAGAATGGACCAATAAAATCAAGACTTGTTAAGGGTGAAGGCACACTTGATGAAACAGAAAATACTACTGTACAATACATCAAGATCACTTTGACAAAAAGTGTAGTTAGAGAGATCTCTGGCTTGATGAAAAATGTGTTTGCAAATTTAAAGAAACCATTGCAGATTGGGATGTAATTCAGTTTTTCCAGTATCCTTCCTTTCCTATCACAGGGAAGATACACCAGATGTTGATTACACATTATTTTCATATATAGTGACTCCTGTATAAATCATCAAAATGTTGTAATGAATGCACACCATCTTTTACATTTGCAAAAACGTCATGTCCTTGAAAGTGAAGGCGTTTCTGGCACTAAACATAGAAACTTGAAGGACATTGTAATGCATCATCTGCAAAAGTGGAATGCACAGAATAGAGAAGTAGTTGGTACCTCTGGATAACCACAACTGTTTCAAGTTTATAGACTTAATGAAATACTAAACTGGAATGATGTACTGTAGAAGTACAGTATACAGTATGTCAAATACCTGATAGAGGAGGTTATACAAACTGATGGCTTCAAGTGATTACCTTGGAAGCATCAATAAATTTGTGTAATGTTGCAACAGTGATAAAGAATCTCCTATTCAGCTAAAACACCAGAACTAGGTCTAATATTTTCAGAACTCCAAGAACAATGAAAACACCAGAACTAGTCTGCAGCCAGCTCTAATATTTTCAGAATTCCAAGAACAATGAATGACACTCTGAACTGTTAAAGATAACAAATGTGCAGTACTGAGCTGTTCCCATGCAGAATTCAGATGTTTTCTCAGTTATGCAAAGGAAATTAATAAAGGACAGTTTTGTGTAAAGGTGGAGTCAAAAGCTTCTATTACACTTAAAGTAAATGCTAATATTAGTAATTATCTGTATTAATATTATTACATTCACACCTTCTCTTGCCTTTCAACAATCAACTGATTTTTTTCTAAATCTCATTTACAGATTAGTGCATTCCATTCTCCTATAATTCATTTCTGGGATTTATATTGCTATGGACCCTTTTACTAACTTCACCTACCCATTCTCACATTCTGTGTAATTTGTTCTTCTTACCCAAGCATTTTCCTCATATTGCT